TGGCCTCCCCTTGCGTAAATGGAGAATTCATGTGCGCGTATTTGCTTACTGCTTGCACGAATGGAGCTTCAGGCACACGCGCTTGCCCGTTTCTCCCGCGGCCTGGGAGTTAGGGATCCCTGGTTTAGACCCAATGACAAAGAGATGAAAAATTTGTAGTTGGTTTGTCGGTTGCCAAATAAGAGTCAGTAAAAAGGTTGATGGGTTTTTAAATTCAAATATTAACGGGAAATTAAAAATTGGGAAAACTAATTAGGACAATGATTGTTGATAAAGATTGAACGTTAAAATAACTTGGATATGTATAAGCTAAACATGATTGATAACCGTAAGAATGTTACTTTTGTTCAATTGACATAATATAAGAATTGCATTAGTTTAAATATGAGGCAGTAAATGCTAAGGCAGTGGTTCTCAACCTTTTTAATGCCGTGACCCCAACCGGTCGTAAATCGAGGACTACTCAACTGGTCGTAAGTCGAGGATTACTCAACTGGTGCAGCACTGTTTGCAGAATGGGACTTTTGGCGGGTTCAGCAGGGCAGAGATAGCCTGGACAATTCCTATTGGCTTTTGAAAGCCAATAGAATTAGATTCTATTCAAGAGAGTCTATTCTATTGGTTTTCAAAAGCCAATAGAATAAAACGGAGTAGCACAGCTAAGGAAAAGGGGAAAAAAATGGCAGACTGTGTTGTTTAGCGACCCCCGTGAAATGGTCGTTCGACCCCAAATGGGGTCCCGACCCACAGGCTGAGAATCACTGTGCTAAGGGGAAAAGAGAGGCAATATTTAATGTGGCACTTTGAGATTTCTGTTAAAGATATTTGTACGTTATCGAATTGTCGGTTAACCCAGCCGCTATGTTGTTTTTTAAAGACTTAAATGTAAAATTAGGAAATCAATAAAAGGTTGATGGGTGTGCTTTCTATTTCCCCTTCTGCGGAATCCCCGATCATCTCTGAGCTTGGTTGTTTTCTTCTGGATATTTCATCACCCAGCTAGGTAACATCATCAGGGCATGTCTGATGAAACTTCTGCAAGAAAACAAGCCAGCTCAGAGAGTACCCAGAATCCCACAGTTCAACCCTCAGCTACAAATGTTCCCTCCGGTTAATTTCCTTTTTTGTGTGGCTTATATTCCATCTAGAGAAAAAAACACAAATGTCTCTCTGCAGGGACACGGGATGTTGGGAGTGAGAAGGAGAAGCTGCAGACTAAGCAATGGTCAGATAATAATAATAATAATAATAATAATAATAATAATAATAATAATAATACTATTTGTTATTGCACTGTTTCCTCTGTCAACAATACTGAATAACTCAGGACATGGCTATCAAACATCAAAAACATCTGCCAGACTATCCCACCTCCTTTATATGGATGATCTGAAGCTGTATGGAAAAACATCATCTGAAATAGAATCGCTGCTCAACACTGTCCGTATATATAGCCAAGATATTGTAATGGAGTTTGGCTTGGACAAATGTGCCACACTTACTATCAAACAAGGAAAAATAGTGAAAACTGAAGGAATCAAGATGCCCCACGAAAATAACATTAAGAGTCTGGATGAGGAAGAGTACTACAAATACTTGGGTATCCTTCAAGCTGACAACATCAAGCACACTGAAGTCAAGAAAAAGATTAGAGGTGAATACATCAAGAGAGTGAAGAAGATCTTAAAGTCCAAACTCAATGGAGGAAATACCATAAAGGCAATCAACACCTGGGCAATCCCAGTCATTAGGTACACAGCTGGAATAGTGGACTGGACTCAAGCAGAACTAAAAGCAATGGATAGGCAGACCAGAAAAATAATGACAATGAATCATGCCCTTCATCCACGCAGTGACATTGATAGACTTTATCTACCAAGGCAAATAGGTGGGCGTGGAATGCTACAAGTACATCAGATGGTTGAAGAAGAAAAAATGGCTTTGGAAGAATATCTGAAGAACAATGATGAAGATGCACTGAAATTAGTATATCAGGAAGGCTTACTACTACTGGAGAGACCAAACTGGCCTACAAGAAAGACCAAATGAAGAACAGAATAGAGGCATGGGAAGACAAAGCACTACATGGCCAATACATGAAAAAAATAGCTGGGAAAGCAGATAATAATAAAACCTGGCAATGGCTAAGAGCAGGAAAATTGAAGAAAGAGACCGAGGGACTAATTCTGGCTGCACAAGACCAAGCCTTAAGGACAAATGCATACAAAGTCAAAATTGAGAAGACAGCAACAGACAGTAAGTGCCGCCTATGCAAAGAAGCTGAAGAAACAGTGGACCACTTGGTAAGCTGTTGCAAGAAGATTGCACAGACTGATTACAAGCAGCGGCATGACAAAGTAGCAACAATGGTGCATTGGAAGATCTGCAAAAAATATCATTTGCCTGTAAGCAAAAACTGGTGGGATCATAAAATAGAGAAAGTCATAGAAAATGATAAAATTAAACTGCTCTGGGACTTCAGAATTCAAACAGACAAGCACCTGCAACATAACACCCCAGACTTAACAATTGTCGATAAGAAAGACAAAAAAGTCTGGATAGTGGACGTGGCAGTGCCTGGAGATAGCAGAATAGAAGAGAAAGAACTGGAGAAGATAACAAAATACAAAGACCTACAAATAGAAATAGAAAGACTGTGGCAAAAGCAAGCAAGGGTAGTACCAATAGTAATAGGCTCCTTAGGTACAATCCCAAAACAACTGGAGCACCACTTGAATACCATTGGCATTGACAAATTCGCTATTAGTCAATTGCAAAAGGCGGCCTTATTAGGAACTGCTTCCATCCTGCGACGATATCTGTAATACCATCAAACATCCACATCTGCCTATCCCAGGTCCTGGGTAAGGATAGGTAGACAATATGCCAAATCCAATCTGAACATCTGGCTGACTGTGCGATGATCCATAATAAGCCTTGGGTGCAATCCCAAAACAACTGGAGCACCACTTGAACACCATTGGCATTGACAAATTCGCCATTAGTCAATTGCAAAAGGCGGCCTTACTAGGAACTGCTTCCATCCTGCGATGATATCTGTAATACCATCAAAACATCCACATCTGCCTCTCCCAGGTCCTTGAGAAGGACTCGATAGGTAGACAGAAATGCCAAATCCAGTTTGAACATCTGGCTGACTGTGATGATCAATATTATTATTATTATTATTATTATTATTATTATTATTATTATTATTATTATTATTATTATTATTCTGCAAGAAATATCATTTGCCTGTAAGCAAGAACTGGTGGGATCATAAAATAGAGAAAGTCATAGAAAATGATAAAATTAAACTGCTCTGGGACTTCAGAATTCAAACAGACAAGCACCTGCAACATAACACCCCAGACTTAACAATTGTCGATAAGAAAGACAAAAAAGTCTGGATAGTGGACGGGGCAGTGCCTGGAGACAGCAGAATAGACGAGAAAGAACTGGAGAAGATAACAAAATACAAAGACCTACAAATAGAAATAGAAAGACTGTGGCAAAAGCAAGCAAGGGTAGTACCAATAGTAATAGGTGCCTTGGGTGCAATCCCAAACCAACTGGAGCACCATTTGAACACCATTGGCATTGACAAATTTGCCATTAGTCAATTGCAAAAGGCGGCCTTACTAGGGGCAAAACTAATTTAAGGACTGTCTTGCTTAGCAAGGGACATGTTGGGATCAGTTGTGGTCGTACGTTGAGGACTACCTGTAAATGAAAAGGCTATGCAACTCTCTCCAAACAACGATGCCTACATTGCCTGATGTGCAGCAATGAAACAATCTAATCCAGGTTATCCCAAACGTGCTTTTTGACAAAGCAACTGGACTTTGTTGTTTTTTCTTGGAAGACATTTCGCTTCTCATCCAAGAAGCTTCCTCAGCTCTGACTGGAGGGTGGGGAACGGAAGGATTTATACTCCTTGTAGACAGCTGATCATTTGCATTCTTTTAGAGAATCATTGAGGCCACTTGGAGCAGGGCTTTTCAACCGGTGGTACGCGTACCACTAGTGGTACGTTGGCACCTGGCAGGTGGTACGCACACAACGGGTTGAACAGCACTGTAAAAAAAATGTAAAAAAAACCCATATAAAAGTGGATGAGGTGAAGCGGCAGCCGTGCCGCACAGGCTTGTGGGAAAGTCAGCTGGAGCTGCACGCTGCCTGGGTCCTACTGAGAGCCCAGGGTCAAAGTGCGCAGCTCCAGCTGATTGGCGGCGGCCTTGGGGGTGGCAGGCAGCCTCACACAGTCTTCGTGTGGAGATTTCGCTGGAGCTGCGCGACGCATTGCCTGGGTCCTGTGGAGAGTCCAGATCGGCGTGCGCAGCTCCAGCTGATTGGGGATGGCAGGCAGCCTCACGCAGTCTTCAGGCAGAGATTCAGCTGGAGCTGCACAAGGCATTGCCTGCCTGGGTCCTGCTGAGCGCCCAGGATCAGTGCACGCAGCTCCAGCTGATTGGGAGTGGCAGGCAGCCTCGCGCAGTCTTCAGGCAGAGATCCAGCTGGAGCTGCACAAGGCATTGCCCTGGGTCCTGCTGAAGGGGAGAGAAGAGAGGATATTAAAGGGGGTGAGAGAAGAGAGGATATTAAAGGGGGTGAGAGAAGAGAGGATATTAAAGAGGGGTGAGGACTACCTGTACGTTTTCCCATTTATTTTTTTTGGGTCATCAACTTTTTGACACTTTGCTAGGCGACTGTGGTACTTGAATATTGCCATATTCCAAAAGTGGTACAATCGGTGAAAAGGTTGAAAAGCCCTGACTTGGAGGTTTATCTGTGTCCTCAGGGTCACCTGAGTGATGCAAATGGGTGTGGAGCCTTCTTGGAAAGGACCGTGTTGCAGACTGGAGATGGATGGTGTCATATCCCTCCCCCTCTGTTGAGAGAGGGCTGTTCGGTTTTGACCTAGACGGCCTCTTTGACCCCTCTTTCAAACCAGTGGGGCCTGCTGATTCACACAACCTGTTCTCCTTTTCCTTCCTTAGGTCCCAAGCGAGACGTTCACGCGGCCAAAGGCTTTATCCTGGAGATGTACAGTGACATCTTCCATCAGTTCCTTGACGGGCCTCTTTGTGGCGGTTCCCTTTCTTCCTTCAGACCCCGGTTCCTTTATCACCATTACACCTGTGCCACCGACACGCAGAACATCTGCACGGTTTTTGCGGATATCAAGGACGCCGTTTTGGCAAGCTACTTGGAAGAGTTCAACCTGGTTTGAAGAGGTCAGCACCAGATGCATCCGGGAATTGCTGGGCGTGCAATCCAGGCGTTGCGGGCTCCGGAGAGGCTGAATTCACAAAGAAGCATTCCTGTCGGTGTGCCAAGATGGAAAGTCACTGTTTGTCACATTTTTTTTGCACCGTCTTCCTACGGGAACCTTCGATGGACTGGGTGAATCCGAAGCCTTCCTGCCGGGAAGGTTTTTTTTTGAAATAATATTGCAGCTGCACCACTGAACAGGAGATTTGCAACTTAACAGTAGAGCAGAGTTGGGAGGACCTTAGAGGTCTTCTAGTCCAACTTAGGAGACCCTACACCAGTGTTTCTCAACCTTGACAATTTTAAGGCATGTGGACTTCAGCCAGCATTGCTGGCTGTGGAATTCTGGGAGTTGAAGTCCACATGCCTTAAAATTGTCCAGGTTGAGAAACACTGCCCTACACCGTTTCAGACAAATATTTGTGCAACTTTTTCTGAAAAGCCTCCAATGTTGGAGCAGCCACAACTTCTGGAGGCAAGTCGTTCCACTGATTAATCGTTCCCACCGTCAGAAATTTTCCCCTTCATTCTAGGTTGGCCCTCTGCTTGAATTAGGAGAGCCTTAGTCTCACAAGAGCGAGGTAAAATGTTGTGAGATGGAGACAGAAGGGACGAGGAGGAGAACATGGACAAGAGCAAGCAAGTTGAAGAGATCAGGAAATCAACTCTGAAACAGCAAGTGGAGATAAGAAAGTTCACTCACCCAGCAGGGTGAAAAAGCAAGTTAAGTCCCACAGGGTGTGAGAATGTGTGACAGAACGCAGCGGTCACAAGATGTACAATGAAGATTGAACAGAAGGCTGGTGGGAAGAATACATAACCTAAAGATTATGTAGATAGAACTGTAATGGGGTTTATGTGTATATAAATATATGAATGTACAGGCAGTCCTCAACTTTTAGTGACTATTCCAGGGCTAGGCAACCTTGGCTCTTTTATGACGCGTGGACTTCAACTCCCAGAATTCCTGAGCCGGCCTGGCTCAGCTTGGAAACCTCTCCTTTCCCCCCTCCCCCCCAGCATGGCTGGCTCAGGAATTCTGGGATTTGAAGTCCACAAATCATAAAAGGGCCAGGTTTGAAGACCCCTGCAGTAGCCTAACCTCATACGACCGTCTTACTGATTCGCCAAGGTGTGGTGCACCCAGCCACGTGCACTCCAAAGTCTGCCTATGGGGGTAGGCAACTTTGGCTCTTTTATGACTGGTGGACTTCAACTCCCAGAATTCCCGAGCCGGCATGGCTCAGCTTGGAAACTTCTCCCTTTCCCCTCAGCATGGCTGGCTCAGGAATTCTGGGAGTTGAAGTCCACGAGTCATAGAAGAGCCAAGGTTGCCTACCCCTGCCCTAGGCCTAGGCCGCTTTCTGACTCATGGACTTCAACTCCCAGAATTCCTGAGCCAGCATGGCTCAGCTTGGAAACCTCTCTCTTTCCCCTCAGCGTGGCCGACTCAGAAATTCTGGGATTTGAAGTCCACGAGTCATAAAAGAGCCAAGGTTGCCTACCCCTGGACTCACTATTTAAAGTTACAATGGCACTCAGAAAAGTTTTTCAGACTTGCAACTTTTGCAGCCTCCCTAGGATTATGTGATCGAAATTCGGACACTTGGCGGCTGATTCATTTTTATGACGGTCACAGCGTCCCCGGGGGTCACGCGATCCCCTTTTGCGACCTCTTGACCAGCAAAGTCAATGGGGAAGCCAGATTCGCTTAACAACCCTGTTATGAACAACAGCTGCAGTGATTCACCTAACAACTGTACAAGGAAGGTGGTGAAATGGGGCAAGACTCACTTAACGGCTGTCTCGCTTAGCAACAGAAGTGTTGGGCTCAGTGGTGGTTGTAATTCGAGGACTACCCGTATCCACAGGTGATGTAAATAGAATGGTAATCCACTGATTATGTGCTCCGGTCTTCTCCAATCTCCAATCTCCGTGCATCCTCTGGCAAGTGGGCGCAAGCGGGTGTGGACATGTGGGTGTGTGTGGGGGGGATGCTTACACAATTGCAGTTAAGGAAGTTTTTGTAGGTCAACAGAGTCATTTAGGTGTTACCTTGAGCAATTCATTACAGGGGGAGAAGGAAGAGAAAGAGGAGGAGGAGGAGGAGGAGGAGAGGAGGGGAGAGAAGAGGAGGGGAGGAAGGAAGTCAAGGAGAAGGAGAGGAAGGAGGAGAGGGGGGGAGAGAAAGGGATGAAGGAGGAGAGGGAGAGGAGAGGAAGAGGAAGAAAGGCAGAAGAGAGGGAGGAGGAGGGGAAGAGAGTCGAGAAGGAGTGGGGGGAAGAAGAGGAGGAAGGAAGGGGAGGGAGGAGAAAGGAGGGAAGAGGAAGAAGAAAGGGAGAGGAGAGGAAGAGAGAGTGGGAGAGGGAGGGTGAGTGGGGAGAGGAGGGAAGAGAAGAGGAGGGGAAGGGGAAGGGGGAGAGAGGAGGAGGAGACGAGAGTCTTGACCTAAAAGACAGAAGGGTGGAATGGGCAATGAAGTTACGGGCTCGGGAAAGTGACTTTCAAATATGGATGGAGGAAAAATGGTCCCCATCAGTGTGTTTCTCAACCACTTTAAGGTGTCTGGACTTCCAACTCCCGGATTTTCCCAGCCAGCCATGGCTGATTAGAGAATTCTGGGAGTTGAAGTCTTACTCCTCTTAAAGTGGCTAAGTTTCCTCCCCTGAAAAACAGGGTTAGGTGCGCACCAAACATTCCATTCAATCACGTCTGTTGCTGCGTGTCTTTATTTTTTAAATTTTTTTGCGCAAATGGAAAAGGGAAGGACGAGAAATTGCAAGGCCTGCCGCCCGTAAGGCAGCTAAAAAAAGAAAGAATTGCTCCAGGGTCCTGGTCTCACACATCCGATCCCATGATGTGCTTGATCCAAGGAAGAAAGTCGGCTATGCGGGAATAAACCCCCGGTGGGACTTGATCGCTGAAGAAGACGATGCCTTCCACCACTCCTCTGCACATCAGGGGGACCTCCAGAATCCCGCTGAGCAAGGGGAAAGCAAAGGAAACGGCTGGAACAGAAGATTTAGAACGGATCTCTGCAAAACAAATTTCTCCAAAAAAGCCAACACGGTTCTAGGCTGCATTAACAGAGGAATAGAATCACGTGAAGAGCCAAGGTTGCCTACTCCTGTCCTAGACCAGCGGTTCTCAGCCTGTGGGTCGGGACCCCATTTGGGGTCGAACGACCATTTCACGGGGGTTGCCAAACAACGCAGTCCGCCATTTTTTTCCTCCTTTTCCTTAGCTGTGCTACTCCCTTTTATTCTATTGGCTTTTGAAAGCCAATAGAATAGACTCTCTTGAATAGAGTCTAATTCTATTGGCTTTCCAAAGCCAATAGGAATTGTCCAGGCTGTCTCTGCCCTGCTGAGCCCGCCAAAAGTCCCATTCTGCAAATGGTGCTGCACCAGTTGAGTAGTCCTCGACTCACAACCGGTTGAGTAGTCCTCGACTTACGACCGGTTGGGGGTCGCGGCATTAAAAAGGTTGAGAACCACTGTCCTAGACAATTGTGTAGAACTAGCACACAACAGGCAAAAAATATTGATATTCTGCTCTGTGGACCCCTCAGTGGCCCTCAGAGACCCCCTTTATAAATCCTGAAGTGTGCATCCTGAAGTGATGCACAAGGTCCCATCAGGGTCTTCGTTATCTGACCAAGGCAACGGTATGACTTGGACGTATCTGTTGAGCCTGGCAGAGTGACTCAGCTGATGCCAGAAAGAAAGGAAGAACCACCACCACCCCCCAAAAAATTAATTAATTAATCTCGGTCACAACAAATGGCTATTAAGGGAAGATGGGAGTAGGAAGTTAACCTAAAAAGTGTTTTCTATAGGGAAAATAACATACCCAAGTGCTGTGATCCTGGATTTACCACAATCGTTCATTTGGCGACCGTTCCAACTTACAACCGGGCTGAAAAAGGGGATTTGCAATCCGTCCTCATGCTTACGACTGTGACAGCAGCATCCCCGTAGGCATGTGATCAAAATTTGGAGGCTTGGCAACTGGCCTGGGTTTGCGACGGTTGCAGCCTCCCAGGGGGTTACAGGATTGCCATTTGCGAACTTCAAACTTGGCCCTTTTATGACTTGGGGACTTCAGCTCCCAAAATTCCTCAGCCGGCATGGGGGAACTATGGCCCCTTCATGACTTGCGGACTTCAACTCCCAGAATTCCTCAGCCAGCAGGAGGGAACTATGGCCCCTTCATGACTTGCGGACTTCAACTCCCAGAATTCCTCAGCCAACGTGCCTGGCTGAGGAATTCTGGGAGTTGAAGTCCACAAGTCATAAAAGGGTCTAGTTTGAAGACCCCTGACTTAATGACTACATGAAAAAGTTGTAAAATGATGTCTGACCCACTTAATGACCAGCTCACTTAGCAATGGAAGTTTCAGTCCCAACTGAGGTCTTAAGTTGAGGACTCCCTGGAATGACTATAGCCTTTCCTTTCTTTTCTTTTCTTTTCCTTCCTTTCCCTCATCCATTTACTCCCTTTCCTTTCCTTTCCTTTCCTTTCCTTCCCTTTTTTCCTTTCCTTTCCCTTCTCTTTGCTTCCCTTCCTTTCCTCATCCGATTATTCCTTTCCTTTCCTTTTTCCATCCCATCCCATCCCATCCATCCCTATCACTACATCTGTCTTTGTCTGTCTCTGTGTTTTCCTTCCTTCCTTCCTTCCTTCCTTCCTTCCTTCCTTCCTTCCTTCCTTCCTTCCTTCCTTCCTTCCTTCCCTCCCTCCCTCCCTCCCTCCCTCCCTCCCTCCCTCCCTCCCTCCCTCTTTCTTTCTTTCTTTCTTTCTTTCTTTCTTTCTTTCTTTCTTTCTTTCTTTTCAATTCTCCCATCTCTTCCCTCAAATGCCTAAAATGGAAGGACCCTGAGGGGTCAACTAGTCCAGCCCCCTGCTAAGTGCACTACAGACCCCATTATTCTTGTCTCTGGGTGACTTCTGCAGTGCCATTGTTTTTCGTGCCTCAGCTCTGTGCCAAACCTGCTGCTTTCTGCTTTTTTCAACCGCCCAGCTAGGTCCTGTTCAGCCCCCCCCCCCATTCTGCACTGGAAAATCTAAACCAGAAACGGGGGTCACTTACTCCATGCAGTGTGCTGCGGTCATTACCCACTGTGGATCCACCAGAAACCCACCACATACAAACTCATCTTCACCCTTCAAGGCTGCCATGTATGGTCTGGAATGGGGTACAGCTTCATGACCCCCAATAATCCGACTCTTCGGTGGGCCTGCGTGAAAATTGGGAGGAATGCTCAGTTGCCAGTGCATTTTTTTCATCGCAGGGGTTTACAAATAGTCCTCGTCTTACCACAGTTCGTTCAGTGACCATTCAAAGTTGTTGTTACTTGCGAAGTCATGTCTGAGCCATCATGACCCCATGGACAATGTTTTTCCAGGCCTTCCTGTCCTCTACCATCTTCTGGAATCCATCTAAGCTCACACCTACTGCTTCAGTGACTCCCTCCAGCCACCTCCTTCTCTGTCGTCCCCTTCTTCTATTGCCCTCCATCTTTCCCAGCATCATGCTCTTCTCCAGTGAGTCCTTCCTTCTCATTAGTGGCCAAAGTACTTGAGGTTCAACTTCAGGATCTGGCCTTCTAAAGAGCAGTCGGGATTGATCTCTAAGACTGACCAGTTTGAACGCCTTGCAGTCCAGGGGACTCGCATGAGTCTTCTCCAGCACCATAGTTCAAAGTCCCCAATTCTTTTGCACTCAGCCTTTCTTATGGTCCAACTGTCACAGCCATACATTGCAATTGGGAAAAGCATGGCCTTGACTAGACGCACTTTTGTTGGCAGAGTGATGTCTCTGCTTTTTAGTATGCTGACTAGATTTGCCATAGCTTTCCTCCCCAGGAGCAAGCGTCTTTTAATTTCTTGGCTGCAGTCCCCATCTGTGGTGATCTTGGAGCCCAGGAAGATAAAATCTGTCACTACCTCCATTTTTTCCCCATTTATTTGCCAGGAGTTGAGAGGGCCGGATGCCATGATTTTGGTTTTCTACAACAGCACTAAAAAAAGCAACCTACGACTGTTCTTCCCATTATGACCGTTTCAGCATCCCCCTGGTCACATGATCAAAATTCAGAAGCTTGGTAACTGGTTCATACTTATGACTGCTGTAGCGTCCTGGGGTCACCTGATCCCCTTTTGCGACCTTCTGACAAGCCAAGTCAACGGGCAAACCAGATTCACTTAACAACTAGGTTACATACTTATCAGCTGCACTGATTCACTTAACAACAGTGGCAAGAAAGCTCGTCAAAAGGGGCAAAACCCATTTAGCAAATTCTCACTTTACAACACAGGTTTTGGGCTCAGCTGCGACCTTCTGACAAGCAAAGTCAATGGGGGAAGCCTGTTTCACTTAACAACCATGTTACTAACTTAATAACTGCAGGGATTCACTTAAGAACTGTGGCAAGACGACCTGTGATAAAGTCCCAACAAAGTAGCAAAAACTGAGGATCATAAAGAGGGGTTTAGAGCAGTGATTTGAAACCTTGATGGCTTTAAGATGGTGGGTTTCAATTCCCAGAATTCCCCAGCTAGCTGAAGTCCACTCATCTTAAAGCTGCCAAGGATAACAAACTTTGGTTTAGAGTAAGCTTTGTCTGGACGCTGATGCAACTGAAAGAGCAAGCAAATCACAATTTTGCAATCGGATGCTTAATTATTTTTCTGGAAATTAGTATCCAACATAGCTTCAAGATGAAGTGAAGAGAAGAAGACCATGTAAGATAAGATGAGGTGAGGTGAGGTAAATTGAGGTGAGATAAGATAAGATGAAGTGAGGTGAGGTGAAGTGAGGTAAGGTGAGGTAAAGTAAGTTGAGGTGAGGTGAGGTGAGATGAGATTAAGATTAAGATAAGATAAGATAAGATAAGATAAGATAAGATAAGATAAGATAACCTTTATTGTCATTTTTTTACTGTGGGCACAACGGCACACATCAAAAATGAAATTTAGTTGCCCACTCTCAAAGTGAAATACATACATGACACACACCTAAACATACTATATAGTATGTTTAGTCCTTCATGGACTAAACTAAAGTCTTTCATGGCATGGATCCAGGCTACTTAAGGGACCATCTCAGCCCACTGGGATTGGCTCACACTTGGAATCCTGGATCCAGTTTTGGTCGCACAATATAAAAAAGATGTTGAGACTCTAGAAACTAGAGTACAGAGAAGAGCAACAAAGATGATCAGGGGACTGGAGACTAAAACATACAAGGAACGGTTGCAGGAATTGGGTATGTCTAGTGAAAAGGACTAAGGGGTGACACGGTAGCAGTGTTCCAATACAGGTAGTCATTGACTTATGACCACAATTGAACCCGAAACTTCTGCTAAGTGAGTTTGTTAAGTGAGTTTTGCCCCATTTAAGACCTTTCTTGCCACAGTTGTTAAGTAGATCACTGCAGTTGTTAAATTGTTAAGTGATTCCGCTTCCCCCATTGACTTTGCTTGTCAGAAGTTTGCAAAAGGAGGTCACATGACCGGAGGATGCTGCGACCGTCATAAATATGAGTCAGTTGCCAAGAGTCTGAATTTTGACCATGAGACCAGGGTGGTGGTGGTGCTGCAATGCTGGGAAGTGTGAAAAAGGGTCATAAGTCACTTTTTTCAGTAACTTTGGTCACTAAACGAGCAGTTGTAAGTAGAGAACTACCTGTATGACTCTTCTTAAAATCACTAAAGATAAGTCACTTTTTTCAGTACCCTTGTAAATTCGAATGCTCACTAAATGAACTGTTGCAAGTTGAGGACAACCTGTACTTTAGGCACTGCCACAGAGAAGAAAGGATCAACCTATTCTCCAAAGCCCCTGAAGGCAGGACAAGAAGCAACAGATGGAAACTGACCAAGGAGAGAAGCAACCTAGAACTAAGGAGAAACTTCCTGACAGTGAGGACAATTAACGAGCGGAACAACCTGCCTCCAGAAGCAGTGAATGCTCCAACACTGGAAGTTTTTAAGAAGAGACTGGACAGCCATTTGTCCGAAATGGTATAGGGTTTCCTGCCTGAGCAGGGGGTTGGACTAGATGACCTCCAAGGTCCCTTCCAACTCTGTTATTATTCTGTTATTTTGTTATTCTGGCCTGCCCCACCCATACCGGCAAAGGAGACATGCTGGGGGAGTCATTGGCTAGTGCAGAGGTAGGCAACCTTGGCTCTTTTATGCCTCGTGGACTTCAACTCCCAGAATTCCTGAGCCAGCATGGCTCAGCTTGGAAACCTCTCCCTTTCCCCTCAGCGTGGCTGGCTTAGGAATTCTGGGAGTTGAAGTCCACGAGTCATAAAAGAGCCAAGGTTGCCTACCTCTGGCTTAGGCCTAGGCTGTTTTATGACTCGTGGATTTCAACTCCCAGAATTCCTAAGCCAGCATGGCTCAGCTTGGAAACCTCTCCCTTTCCCCTCAGCATGGCTGCCTCAGGAATTCTGGGAGTTGAAGTCCACGAGTCATAAAAGAGTCAAGGTTGCCTACCTCTGGCTTAGGCCTAGGCTGCTTTATGACTCGTGGATTTCAACTCCCAGAATTCCTAAGCCAGCATGGCTCAGCTTGGAAACCTCTCCCTTTCCCCTCAGCATGGCTGCCTCAGGAATTCTGGGAGTTGAAGTCCACGAGTCATAAAAGAGCCAAGGTTCCCTACCCCCGTCCAGGAGAAGGGCTTTTTCTCCCTCTGGAACATCTTGCCCTCCAGAGTGAGGTCCACTCCAATCCTCCTGATAACAACAACAACAACAACAACAACAAACTTCCAATGTTGGGGCATTCACCCCTTCTGGAGGCAGGTTGTTCCACTGGTTAATTGTTCTCACTGTCAGGAAGTTTCTCCTTCATTCCAGGTTGCTTCCGCACGAGCATCCTTCTGAATTTCAACAGCTAGGACTCTTTTTAAAGAGTTATTTAAGCCTCTGATTGAACTTCACCCAGTGCAGTGTTTGCTTCAAGCTCCTATCTTTGGGGAAAGATCTCAGCCATTAACGGGTTATTTTTGCCCCGATCAATTTTTTTTTTGCAAACATCATGTGGTCAACGGTCGTTTTCTGGCCCGTAATCTTTTCCTGCCCAAACCTCTAACGGTTGGTGGGAACGGATGGCCCGGCATCACCCAGGGCGTTTCTGTTCAGTTCAGGGCCTGGGGACGGCGAAGGGGAAAGAGAGACAGACGGATGCTGAGTCAACTCAACCCCACCACTCAGGAATGGCTTGTGAGCAAAGGCGGGCGCCTTTCTGCTAAGTTTGCTGGGCGAGGACCGTCCCCAAAGACGAGGGAGGTTGTTATTGTGCCTTTCTCTGTTTTCGGAACGGGTTGCGTGAGCACAGCCCTTGACAGGTTTCTGGTCCTCATTGGTCAAAGGATTACATTCAAAGAAACTGGCAGGTTTCGTCAAAAAAAAAAAAAAAAGACTTCCTGAACCGGAGCTAGACACTTACAAAGTTTTGTGGCTGATGGGCAGAATGTTTTGCTGATGGTTTTTCTTCTCAGTTTCACAACTTAGATTGCAGTCATGGGATCTCTTGGTGGTCTCCCCTCCGGCCACTGAGCAGGTCTCCTCCTGCATAGGCTTTCCAGATCAGCCAAGGTCAGCAGTGCAGAGAACAAAGAAGGCAGAGCTTTGATTGACTGGTTGTCTTGATTTACCTGTTGTGCTCCCCCCACCCCACCCCCCCAGACACCCATGCCTTGATACCATTGGGAAAATCTAAGACTCTTTCTTTCTTTCTTTCTTTCTTTCTTTCTTTCTTTCTTTCTTTCTTTCTTTCTTTCTTTCTTTCTTTCTTTCTTTCTTTTCCATTCTCCCATCTCCTCCCTCAAATGCCTAAAATGGAAGGACCCTGAGGGGTCATCTAGTCCAGCCCCCTGCTGTGCACTACAGACCCCATTATTCTTGTCTCTGGGTGACTTCTGCAGTGCCATTGTTTTTCGTGCCTCAGCTCTGTGCCAAACCTACTGTTTTCTGCTTTTTTCTTTGGGAAAATCTAAGACTCTTTCTTTCTTTCTTTCTTTCTTTCTTTCTTTCTTTCTTTCTTTCTTTCTTTCTTTCTTTCTTTCTTTTTTGGCAAACGTACCTACTACTCCTTCCTCTTCCTATATTCCCCACAACAACAACCCTGTGAGGTAGATTTAGCTGAGAGAGAGAGAGATTGGCCCAGAGTCACCCAGCCAGCTTGCCTGCAGTGGGACTAGAATTCTCCTGTCTCCTGTCCAAAGT